TCCCAAAAGATGAGAGGGAGGGAGAGGGTGGAGGTGGGGGTGGGGGTGGGGGGGGGGGGGAATGAAACCGAAGGAGTCCGTTGGTTTTTCCGAAGGTGTCCGTACGGGAAGGTCCGAAAGATCACCAAAATTTTTTCGACGCGAACGAGGAAATAATCGTTCGCTTAAAGGTCGGATTAGCAACTTATGTCCCTCCCTTGTAGCACATAGCATCGAAACGACTTTGATTCAATGTTGTTTCAATTTTACGTGCTACTAGGACTTCGCCGTTATATTTCCTGAAGAGGAAGGGGAAAATCCCGCAAGGAAGAAAAAGTGGGATTTCCGAAGAAACGCAGGAAATATTATCTGAGCATGAGGGGAAATCCAGGTTTAAGTGTTCTTAGTCGGAAGTTTTTAGGAGGATGAACCTCGAGTGCCTGACTATTTACAAGGAAGGGCAACTTTGCATGTTTTTTTTATGCATTTCGTATTCAAATAAAATCGAGATGTTTTGCTGCTCGAAACCGTCGAAGACGTTCGTACCGATCCATAATCATCGGCATCATAGGTACTTCTTTGATTATATTTCCAAATCGATTCGCATCCGTCAAACTCAAATTTCGAAGCTCAAGATTTGCAACTACGAGTACTGTGAAAGCGTGAGGAACGCGTGAAAGTCCAAGAGACGAGACGATTCATCCATTTCTCGCTGCACCATCTTCAAATAAAAGCCTGATCGTCCACGAAAGGAATTTTGCCGCCACGAGACACCGGCTGCGGCTGCGGCCATCATCGTCTGCAGACGCCTGCCCCACTGTGGAATCGGTTTGCACACACGGGGAAGAGCGACTCGCAGGATCACTAGGAAGACTGAGGCGTGACGAGGGTCGCGGGGACGGGTCCACTCGCGTCCCCCGAATCGGTTGCGGCTTTTGCCTGCGTCCGAAGCAAAACAATGCATGTAAGTATCGGTTCCGAATTCACGCTTCTTAGGAATCCTCTCATTCCTTCTCGTAATTTTTCTGTTCGAGACGTCGTCCAAGCCAAGCTACATTCGACGTCGTCTCTCATGATCTCTGACATGGATTCTCTCACGCATCATCATTTTTAGAATTTCGAAGAGAGATACTTGGGAATGCTGGATTTTACAAAGTTCAGATCGAAATCCGCTTCAACTGCATTACTATTAAACGGATTAAAGAACCTGGCTTAACCTGGCTTAATATTTTGTCGAGCGTTGAGGATTCAACTAGTCATGTAAATACACTGAGCAAGGCAAAAAACGCTTTGATGAGATCCTTCAAAGAAGGCAATATAGTTTCATCTTTGTAGAAATGAGAGCCTTTTTTCATCGATGTGGAATCCTTTCACCTTCTCCTACACCAGGAATCCAATTAAAAAAATGAACAGGACATTTGAGGAAGGGAGAAAGACCTTGGAACTGATCTGGGTGCGGAAGAAGCGACCGAGCCAGGAAGATCTCATCAGACTCTTGTTGAGAAGGCAATGGAAGACGAAGATGAGGAAACCCTGAAACACGAACGGGAGACCGTGAGCATCCCCTCCCCCACGCCCCGCCGGAGTGCATGCTCCAGTCGCCCGAGCGGTCTTGCCTGGGATGCGTTCAGGATCGTGAAGACGTAGGCGAAGACGGGCGTGACTTCCATGTAGAAGAAGCCGAAGATCCAGCCGATACCGAGCAGACAAGTCAGGGTGAAGGTCGACTTCACGAAGCGACTGCAATCACGATTCGATTTTAATTCAAACGGATATTTTACTTATGTTTGTCTTCGCAGGACTTAGCTAGTGTTTTTGCTCTGTTGGCTTTAGAAAAGCTTGCCCGTCAACTTTAAATTAGAAGAAGCATGAAGCTTGCAAGGGAAGATGTTGCACCAAAGGCCACGGGGTACCATGGGTCACGGGGTATCAGACTGTCTACGGTATAGCTCTCCCAGCAAAATTTTCGCTCGTGCAGTCTGCATTCAATTTTCCAAGCAGGAAGGTATAGTTGAAAAAGAGTAGTTCCTATCCAGAGTGAAAATGATGCGGACGTTCTTTCGTAGTCGACAGATTTTAGTTTTTATCGAGAACGACTTCTGCTGTTTCCAGTTTTTTTTTTCATTTTCGAAAAAGTGTCGATTCGGGCCATCGGTAGTTCGATGCCAGCGCGTACGAGCTAAAACCGCAGCTTCCGTTGGCTGTAATCCTACTTTAATTTTAATGGTTTGTGTTGGCGTGCTATGGGTCACGATTTGTCATAACCCTCGATGAGACGAATTTTCTTGAGATATGTCGATGCCCACCGCGATCCCCTTTGCCGTCCTTTCTCCGATCTGAGGAAGCGCAATTAAAAAACTCGACTCGGCTGATTTCAGCGACAGCTAATGTAATGAAACAAACATGTCATCGTCAGTCTTTTTTCCGATTAAAAATTCCTTCTTTTTCCAGATTGCTGTGCATATCACTATGCAAGTTCTCCTTCATCGATGGTGCGAAATCGATGAAATGACTCGAGACCAACTCGTGTTCATCGTAGCGATGCTCGACGACCCATGAAACCCAGGACACCGAACCATGACACCCAGGACACCGACCCATGATACCCAGGACACCGACCCACGGTACCTCGTACCGACTCATGGTATCTTCTATTTAAAATATGCCAACGTCTCGAAACTTGGAGGTTGAGACCATCGTAAGAGGGGGGTTGCGCATGCGACAGGAGTCTCCACGCAGAAGGCCTCTCATTGTTTCAGAGGAATAAAAATGCTTAAGTTGCAGGCCCGCGAAAAAAGTCGGCCATGGTGCCGGGCCCTCGCCTACTCGTCAGGTTTCCCTTCCGAGGGAACGTGCATCGTCGCTCTGGTCTTTTCCCTGATCATCACTGTGTCGATGATGCACGTGTCGTTCCACGTATTTACGAGACATCCCGCACGGCGGGCTTACCGCGATCTTAATTATTGGAATGTCATGCATGGTTTTCCTCTCAAATCACTCAATATTTGAGTGCGAACTCGGAACGGGGAGAAGGTGAAACCGAGGAATGCACCGAGTTCATCTTGCTTTCACTTTTCCCTCATGCCATAACTGATATTGCTCTCTGTATCCGGTTCCTCCAGAGCATTTCATCGGTAGAAAAGTTACCATAGAACGCTCTTGCTAATTAGTCCTTTCGAAAGAACATGAAACAGCAACGCCTTAGAGATGAGTCTCCTGACATTCATCGGCGTTACTTATATATAAACGTTCGACTCATTTTGTGTTATTTTTCTGCAAGACATTTCCCGATGCCTAACTTTTGCCCGCAAGCCTCTCGTCCGATCACCTACAATATACATGGTCATGTCTAATTGAACGTTCTGCTTCTGTGCATCTCGAAGCTCTTTTGGCATGGAAACCCCGACCGAGCCCCAATGTCAGGGTCGCGGTAGTAGGACGGCCGCGAGAACTTGAAAATGTTGCCAGAGTGCAGAGCGGCATCAACTGCAAGCTCACGCATCAGGGCCAAGAATGCATACCGATAAAGTCGCAAGGATTCCAGGCGGAACCGAACCGACCTGCTTTGTCTCCGGACGGACCGACCCACGTTCCCACTCCCTGTGGCATTTCTCAAGGCCAGGATCATGAAGATGGTGTTGGCCACCACGATCACGAGAACGGGCCCGGCAAACGCCCAGATGTAATGCGGCGACGACAACCAGCAGCTGCAAAGGATACCAAGGGCCGCCATGGACGTACCGCATTGCTTGGGGCGACACGAAAAAGTGAAATCGTACAATTCCCCGTCTCCGTATCCTCTTGCATCAGTGAGAAAGGAGACGGCCTTGGTGACGAGGACGACGAGGCCCGGCAAGCCGTATCCAGCAAGCAGATACGTCCACACCGGGATGTTGACGCCGGTGGGGAAGACGCGAACCAGCTGGCGGTAGACGAACATCCCCTCCAATGCCATCCACGTGAACGCACTGAGGAACAGATAATGGAGCACCACTCCGGACGCGGCACAACCTGTCTGGTTTCCACCAGTAAAAGGATCAGGAGTTCACAAGTATTATTTTGCAAATTGTAAGCATTTACTTACCCATTGCACAAGTCAGAACTCATGGAAAGGAGCAATAAGATAGTTCTATCCAGCACCGGTTTCTCAGATTTTGTCTACAATGTTTAGATATTGAAACCGTGACGATAGTTCAGTTTTATCAAAGCTGGAAAATCTGTCCTAGATGCATCCTCGCGTAATTGCTACGGAACGACACGCTCCTCGAGGGAACGTTCTTAGCGAACCACACGATTTGCATCGTGAAGCGAAAAGTGCTTTGGAAAAAATTTGCTTGGCGAAGTTTCCGTCAAATATCCAAGGAGATTCAAGAAGAATTCAGAAGAAATGCCATTTTCCCTATCGAATTGAAGGTGAAACAAAATTTTCGTTAATGATAGACGATTCCCCACTGACGCTCTTGGAAGGCCTTCTTGGAAGGTTTAAAAGGTGGTATTCATTTCCTAGACAAGGATGTATTTTACATTCAATTTGAAAACTGCTACAAACTTGTATCACACTACATCTGGTGGCAACAAAAGTTCCAAACTTTACACGACCACAGATAGAACACCATATCAGGCATTCGTATGAAAATCTCAGGTTGTCATCCTCAACATATGTACGAGTGTAAGTCGAAAAATAAGGTCAAACGAATTTTTTCAGATTACGTGTGGCACACCAAGAAATAATTTATACAGGTTAAAGTACGCGTCCTTTCCTATTTTCTCCCGAGGTTGCGTTAATGAGAAGGTGCTCTAGCGGGGGAAGTATCGAAAGATGGCCTGCAGACTGGAAGTGTCGACACGTGAGGAGCAGCGGAGTGGCATCGCGTTTTCATCAGGACCACACACCGGCGGACGTTCGTTGTGAAATGAGTGCCGTGTGTGAAAGCAACTATGGCGCAACGTCATGTCTATAGGTGGTATGACGAGTTCGCTGCGGGACGCACAAGTGTCGTCAGCAACGAGCGGGCGTATGCAGTTTTCGTGACCGACGAGGACGTGCTTGGGTCCGTCGTCGACGACACTTGTGCGTCCTGCGGCGAACTTGTCGTGCCACTCGATGGGCAAGACGCTTTCACGTACAGTTGTTTCCATGCACGGCACTCATTTCACGATGAACGTTCGCCTTCTCATCCATGCTACTATCTGAGAAATTAAAAAACGACGTGTACTTTCATCTGCTTACCTAAACCTATTGTGCGCCGTACGGTATCTGCAAAAAAAATGTAATAGACTTTATTTTGCGACTTTCCCTCATACATAGATTGACATCGATGAAGTTTGTCGCTCGGAACCATCGAGAGGGCTACTTTCCCAAACGAAGCGAAACGAGAGCGTGTGCAACGAGAGCGTAACTGACCTCAAGAGGGAACGCGCTTCTTGGTTCCTCCTTTTCCGTCCATAGCTGCTCGCAAACGCATTTTTTATCGTTCGATTCCATTCCTGATGGAATCTTAGCTCTCTAGAGGTCTCGTTTCCTCGTTTCTAGCCTTCGGTTCGAGCGTCGAAAACGGCGTGTAGCGTCTAGCACGAAGAACCACTCGAAACCGTTCCGCGAAGTCGAGGGCGTTTAAGCCAGCAGAAGTGGGTCATCCTCTCATTTTCTTGGATCAAGTCAGAAGTGGCATTTTCCTCCAGGTATTCTTGTTCACGTTTGGCGCGATGCGAACGAGCTTGTTCGTGCTAGACGCTGCGCGCCATTTTCAAAATTTGATACGATGAAAACTTGGAAACGAGGCAACGTTGTCTCTCGCGATTCAGTCAGGAAGTGAATCGACCATGGAAACGGCCCTTGCGAATTGTCATGGACCGGAAAGGAGGAACCATGAAGCACTTCTTAGGTTGAGGTGAGTTGCGACTTGCGTTGCGATCGCTCTCATTTGACTTCGCTCGAGAAAATAACCCTCAAAAGGGTTCTAAACGCCTAACTTCCTTGAATTTTTCGTGAAACTGTGTATATGTGTCGAGTGTGACACCCTGCATTTTTCCTCCCGATGCCAAGGATGGTGTTCCGTTTGTGGCCGTGTAAAGTTTCGAAAATTTTCTGTCCCGTCATGCATGACCACGGGGATTCCAACGGGCAGTCGAGAACCCGACGACGAGAAGGCTCTGCCGCTCGACCGGACGACGTACGACGGCAATCGGAAGCCGATGACGCGAAGGGGTTTCGCTTCCAAGTCGAGAGAGAAAAAAATCACCTGAGAGAAATGGAAGAATCGTCGGTCCATCAGGAGGAGAAGGCACGGAAGCGCCACCAGGAGGCAGAGGCACAGGTGTTTGTTCAACTCCAGCACTCTCGACCTGGCCGCGTTTCTGCTCCACGTACGCGGGAAATCGAGGACAAAAAGGCACGATCGAGATTTGAAAACGGCCAAAGGCGAGTACGAACTTGGCATCGGTCGTGAAGAAGGTGACGAGGGCGAGGACGAGGCCGACGATGGAAAGACACGAGAGCGAGATGGTCGACGCCTCCAGTGCCGTACTTCGTCCCTGTGGGAAAACGGAACGAGCGATCGATACGACGTCGACACCGATCCGCGGAGGCATCGGTGAGGAATCTCACGACGTAGCTGTGAAGATCCATGAGGACTGCGAAGTTGGTGAGATGTCCGCACTCGCAGACCGTCTCGTCCCTGTTCGAGGAAACCGCCCGGCACCCCTCATCGTCCCAGTGTTCGCTATTCGAGAGCGCATGTGAGAGTGAAAACGTTAAAAACCCTTTTGATTCTCCTCGAGTACGCACTTTACAGATACATCACTTTACTTTACAGTACTTTACATCACTTTACAGATACGGGAACGAATGCATCGTGAGAGCGATAAAGTACACCTACTCGTGCACGAGGCGTAAGCTTACTCTTCCACGTTCCAGAAGGTGCACCGATGACTTCTCTTGGCGAAGGTCGGACGCTCCCCCTCGTGCAGTTCCCGCCAGACCTCCCGATAAGGCGGATCGCTCGCCGGCTCCTCGTTCCGGAACGTGAGCCTTAGAGGGTCATGGAGCTCCAACGGCCGATCGTTCCTCACGGCGAGGCTTAGCACCAAAGAGTTCGTCCGCTTCTTTCCCCCAAACCTGGAAAGCCGGCGTGGAATCCGATGGGATGGACGGTAGAATTTTAACAAATAATGCCACGGGTGAAACTTCCATTTAGAGTTCATGAGACCCACAGTATAATGATTTGCGACATTTACGCGTATTGAAAACGAATATACCTTTCTTTTAATAGCGATTCTCAGGCGTATCCGTCATCGAGCAACCCGGATCCCCAAAGAACCGCGCAAGGGTTCACGAAGAGGAGAACGACTGTCGACCTTTTCGCGTCTGTTTCACCCTCTCCGAGTCCAGACAGAGAAACGAAGAGACAGAGACAACTCGATCGCGTCAGACCCAGCGGGCAAGCAAAAATGCAGACAGCAGGAAATCGAAAAGTGGGATTCCTTCATTGGTGAACTGGCGAACGCACCATTTCATACGTTGAAAACGTATATGCATAAGGTGTAAGCACTGGGAATCTGCAGACTTTTTTCATCATTCGACTACGATATCTCGTCAGAGGCATCCCTGCCGCTGCTACCATTTGCGTCTTAGCAACGGGGGCGTGGATCAGATCGATCGAACTCTTCCCTTCTGCTTTGAAGGATGATAACGTGAACTCGATGGGGTTCAGGGACTGTAGTCGGAAAGAAAATTCATGGAATGGTTCGGGTACGGAGGAATCATCTGTGCCCGGGCATTGTCCATCACGAATTTGAACTCCTTGTCTGATCCGATCGCGGCACTCAGTTGGTAAACGAACACAAGTACGTTCGTTTAAATTTTGGGAACTGAGTGCCTCGAACCTGAAACTTTCGCCACCATTCTTCCGCTGCGGATTTCCTTATTTCCGAAACTTGAGCGACTTCTCGAGCCGAGGAACCGAAATGGCCATCCGGTCTTGTAGGATTCAGTTCCACTTCGCATCTCTCCCAGATTTGTCATCGCGAATGAATCAAGTTTGAGATGGAAACTGGGGCGTCCCAGGAGACGCCAGACAGGCGAAGAAACGAAAGGGACTAGACAGGTTAGACACTGTCCAAGCAGCATGTTCATGCAAAACGAGATATCAATTTTTGCAAGCAATGTCGATTTCTTGTGATTGTCATGGAAATATCACGTTCGCAAATTCGGAAAATGTACTGTATATTCCTCTATTTACATCACCAAAGTGGATGTGGAGCGCATATAAATTAGACACGACTTCACCTGTTATAAACTACATGATGTAAGGTTCATGCAAAATCAACACCACACCATCCTTATGAAACTTTAGCTGACTCTCCCGCAGTTGCAATACCACGAGTCCTCACTAGATGGAACCCATGTTCCCTGCACCATACGAATGCAATTAAGTACTTGCTTTCCTGATATAATGTGAGGTCTTCTTCCCATCCTTCCTCTTCTTCTTGTGCAATTTATAAACATATATAAAGAAAACATGGAATTATGAGATGTTATTACAATGTATGACTCAGAGAATGATTAAATGTGGATGTTGAGCATGCGAATACAGGAGTGTACGGGAATATGGAAGACTCGTCTCAAATGATACTCTATATTCTCTATGGATGGTAGTACTTTTTGCAGTTCTGCTCATGCTCCCAGAGTTTCAGGATAGGCGTGGAAGAGGGGAGCAGTAGGTCACCTTGAGTTCTCTTGAGTTAGAGTACTTTTGCACTCTTTCGAGCACACGAGAGCTCCACTAGAGCCACACTAGAGCGGCCTGCGGCCAACACGCTGGCCGAGTAATAGATTAAAAGAACACCAAGATTTTTATGGCCTAGAATGGCGTAGCCTTGTAGGCCTTGCGTGTTAGGCCGCAGGTGGGTGACAGCCATTCACTACCGCTTTCGGCCTCTTTCAAATTTTACAGCCTAGCCTCCTATGGCCCAGAATGGAAAAGCCTTGAAGGCCTGGCGCTTTAGGCCTTGGATGACCTGGAATGGCTTAGCATCGTAGGCCTCGACCGTTAGGAGCGACGGCTGCCACAACGTTCGGTCTCTTCCTATTAAAGTATTAGATATCAGATTAGATTAGGTGTTCTTGAGGTCCATTTGGGTTACAGATGGCTTCTACTCGCACACATTGTTGCTGGCAGCTAAGCCAAAATATTCTCGGCAAAATATGAGATTGCCATTGGGATTCAGAGATCTCCAGTTCTTGAAAATAATGCAGTTCGTAAATTGACAAAAAATAAACTGATTCCCTGTTACATAGGTAACCTACGCAGCATGCATCGTCTTGCAATTCTGTCTGAATTCAAGAATCCTAGCCCCCCCCCGGGGAGATTCTCCGAACATTGTTTTCCCCACTCCTCTTCATGGTTTTCCGCCGGACATGTCAATCAGTCACGCACAATAGGAATGGCGTCAGACTTCGGGCGCGAATTTGTTCAAGAGACACGAGCGCTCTGCTCCAGGAAGCGTTGACGTTAATTCGAGGGCCAACCACCAGGGCATAGACCGCCATTGCGGTTACCCTGCTTTCGCGCAGTGTCCAGTCTTCTTAGTATAAGGTCTTTGAGCTAGACAGGCCACATGAGATGTCATGCTTCTTCCTCAGCTCGCCGCTGACTCCGCTTTCCCTACTTTATTCATTCCACGCCAATGAGATTTTTTTGTGTGGCGGGGGTTACTGTTAGCGTGATTGCAGAAAAGCCTGAGGATCTCTTTGAAAAGGTCTATCACACAGTGAACGAGTTTACCATACTTTTCCTGAGTTTCTGAGATACATGGCCGATTTTGGAAGAGTGAAAGTCATAATGGTCGGGGTATCTCACGTCCCAAATCTTTTATGTCGTCTCGAACGTCGCAAGGGCCCATTTCTGCATCTTCAGCGATTCAATACCAAGTTTAACGGGCAGGCTTTCGTGGATGATGACAGCTAAACCCATTTAAATTGACCCACTCCGAAAACGAAGCCGGTTCCTCATTTCTCCTACTCTAGACCTATTCATGACCACTTAATACCAACAGTCGCATGACTTGGTGGCCACGTGCACAAACAGATTCTGGTCGGTCGGGAAGCGTTAATTCGAAAACATGTTTTCTCCGTTTTCTGGTTTCATTCGTATTGTGCCCAGACTAAAAGTAATTGTTTTCCCGGGAAGAAATAAATATATTTTGTGGTTATTCGGGCTCTCTCATATGTAGCAACGAAGATTGATGCGAAATTGCATTTGAAATCTCTAATACTCAATCCAGTACACGAGAATTCTGCTTTGGTGAGCCCATGAGTCCCTTGCATCGATGGTACAAGCATGACGCTTGTACCATCGATATGTCCTTGGGCTGCAAGGTTAAAATTGCCTTCTCGTCATAGGAGCACCATGCAAAAACAGTAGTATCAAAAGGGGAGGGAACAATGTACGAATATTTTGTGCCAGGCAAAAGTCGGTAAGGAACCATCGCATCCCTTAGGTGTGGAAACGCCTGAGGAGCAATTCGTGGTCAGGAAATTCATAGCGAAAGATCCAAGTCAAAATATAAAACTGATTCCGCCAACTGAAGTATTGTACTCCCCACGATACATTTCAAAGCTTTTTTCTCTGGAAATAATTTCTTATTTCTACAAAGTAAACATGTATTTTATATAGTTATCCATAGATTCAAATAATTTTTACATTTTCATTTGCCTTCCTTTTCATTCACTTTTAAGGGAAAACTCATTGAGCCCTTCCCTGGCTGTGTCAGAAAAAGGCCCCGCTCGGATAAGGGTTAAGAAGGAAGCACTCACGAGGCTCTATCTCCAGGTAGAAGCTCATTCAAGTCATCGACGCTATAAAGGACGCCGACGACGAAGTAGTGAACTCCTCCTCCCAGTTGATCCTGGAAACCATCCGGAAGAACCGCGTACGTGTGGCCCCTCCCGTTCGGGAAGACGAAGGAACCCGAGTCCTTCGGCTTCCCCCAGGCTTCCACCACGAGATGCTTCCGGGACATGTTGAAAGCCAGCTCCACCTCGAATCGCTCGAGCATGAAAAAAGCGACCTCGAGTCCCGCCCTTGCCATCGTCTCCGTCAGCGAGGAGAACGTCACGCTTCGGTTCCCCTGCAATTAGAGTTTCAGGGTGATCCGAGAAGGATCTCGGCCTACAAATTTACGATCACTTTGTTCCAAACGATTGAAATTTTCATAGACGAATTTTACTCTTGTACATTTGCGCAACCGTCTCATAACTAGTTTCCAACGAAGGACAACGTGGAGAAGCAGACCCGAGATTGGGGCATACATATTCCATCTTCCTTTTTAAGGGAGTCGCCTGTTTTTTGGAATCCGATGAACCCATCGTGCACGCAAGAAAATGGATCCACACGTCCTTAGAGGAATGATACCCTTGCAACGTTCGGCATCCCCGTCTTCCTCGAGTGAATAACGATGCACCGATCGATTAAATTCGTGAAAAAGGACCGGCTCACGCACCGTCGCGATATCGAGCCACCCCTGAAACGCATCCAGGGTGAGATCCACGGCCACGGTCAGACTCCGGAGAAACTCCAGCGGGTCGGACGAGTCCCCCAAGCCGCCCTCCAGACCGTCGAGGAAGGCATCCAGCAGGGGACCCAAAAACTCCACGATGGTTTCGATTTCGTCTCCGGACAGGTTCTCCTCGCTCTGCATCCCAGACGTGAGGCCGTTCAGCGTCTCCAACGCGTTCGTCTCGTTCAGCTGCATGGATTTCGTTTCGCTCTGTGACTTCGATGCAGCCCGTACCAAATTTCAACGCAGTTGGTATTACAACGGGAAAATAAATTCATAGATGTAAAACCTGAGACCGGAAGCCTGTAAAACTTGGCTTTGGGCCAAGTTTTTTTCGCTGCCCCCCCCCCCCCCCAAAAAAAAAAAAAAATTAAGAATGGAATGTAGACGTGAAAGCGTACTGATTCGTCTTCATGTAAATGGAAATCCAATTGCGAACTTCATTAATATCAGGGTTAAACGCTGATAAAATGATGTTCTTGAATTCGAATTCTTCACAATGCGAATACATTCGAAATACTCGAATCGTATGAGATTCAATGAACGGTGACTGTCGGCTGAGAATAAGGATGAGTTTTTTCCCGGCGGGAAAAAAACCCATCCTTATTTCCTTTTTTTGAACGAGCAGGAGCGGATCGTCGGCTTCCATGATGTTGCACGCGGAGAAGGATAAATAGACGGAATGCATCCGACGGTGGTCTTGCATCGATACGGAACGAGAAAGTAACGATACGAATCTGAGTTCGTTACGTTATCTTCGGGTGGACTTCCTCTCTCGTCCCTATCGCCTGGTTCTGCCGAAAAGAAGGAGCCGACATCGGAGAAGAACGAGACTCACGGATGCTCTCGCAGAGGACCGAGGACACATCCCCATCCAGCCTTCGCTGCTTCACCTTCCACCGCTGGGAATCTGTAAGAGACGGAAGCGCGCATGCGCGGTACGAACACGCTCGGTGGGTCGACGGATGATGCGGGTCGCAGCGGGTACCTCCTTCCGGGCCGGGGAGGGCGAGGAAGCAGAGGCGTCGGTATTCGAAAAGCTCCAGGTCTTCTTCCGAGGGGAAGACTCGACCGAACAGAGTGTCGTTCATCGTTGCATTCCATCCTTTCCATTTGATGTTCGTGCCCGTATAATTTCCGTAGAGGTCCGGATAATAATATCCGAGGTAACACGATATGAAGATATCACCTGTAAAGAAACGTACAAAGCGACAAATATGCCAAGGCACCCATGCTCGTGAGTTTCCCGACGAAATTAGTCGAAAGATAAGTACAGAGAGATAATTTCTCTCGTGGAAGCCGTTGAACGATTTAATAGGATCGATCATTTGGATAGGGACTCGCTGAATTATATGTTTTTTTTTTCCCCCATACATCTTTTGTGACGCACACAATCTCTTTTCCTGATTTTAATCATTTCCAATCCAGTATTTATTGGCATCATTTGCAGTTCACCGTTTATCGCGTCAATTCCGATATCCGACACGGCAATCGCTATCGAGAGAGGGAATTTAGCTCCCATCCACAGACAATAATAATAAAAGTGGGGGACGTAAACGATCCTCCGACACGATGGACTCACCGACGACGTCCAGGCCTTTCGTGTAGTTTCTGATCCCCTCCCATTGGTCCACGGACTGCAGGTGACCCACGGCGTACCCCGACCGCCGGATCCGGTCCGGGGTGCACAGTCCGCTCGAGTCTCCCGTCCACACGGGCGAATCGCGACCGATTTCCGCACCTGCAATCGTGCACGGAGTGACGGAAGCGGAACGACGGGAGAAACGCAGGACCCGACGTCCGACCTACCGCAGACGAAGAAACACTTTCGCCGCACGCCGTCAAAGTACGGCGGGTGGCAGTCGCTCCGGTTCTCGTGTCCGGTGCACGGGCCTTCCAGCTCGACCTCTCTTTTCTGCACGAAATAACGTCACGAAACGAGAAAACGGGAAGAATGGGATGCCTTTACGCGCACGAACTCCGCTGACCTTTCTGGACCGAGCATCCTTCCATCCCGGGTCGTCGAGGCACTCGTAACCTCCAGGGAACCGGGCGGCACGATGCCCGACCGGACGTTCCGAGCAGCGTTCCACGGTCGAAAGACCCACCTGCCCCACCTGCCCCACCGAGAGGAACGGCAACGCAACGACCGCGGCCGAGAAGAGGACTAAGCGGACCGACCTCCGGTCTCTTCCCTGCTCCATCGCGGATCGGAGACGAGAAATACGAGAGATTCCTCAGATACGGGAGGGGAGGATGGAATCTACCGCCGGGACATCCCTTCGCTATCGTGGAACGCGATGCCGACTTTCCCGATCGCTTCCCTCGGAAGATAAGACGACCCCATAAAGAAAGTCGATCGGGGTATCGCGTTCACGAGTGCGTTTTACAGCCCACCGAGATTTCCACCGAGAAGTTCTCCCTCGGAACGACGCCCCGCCGTCGCGCCCGACGACGCGAATCGGTCGGCTCCACCGGCGATTCCGAAGACGCCCGCCGGCCGATCCTCGGCTTTTTTCTTCTCTGCGGTCGACGACGACTTCGAACGAGATGCGATGCGACGAAGCAAAAGCAAAGGATGCGAAGGACCGATTCCAACGTTCTCGTTTCTTCCCTTCATCCGACGAAGAGAGGATCGACGCATTCCCATCGCACGCGAGGCCAAGCACGTGCAAGACCAACTTCGGGGCAAACGACGAACTCTCGCACTCGGAAAAGAAATGCGCGGGAGAGAGAGGATTCCCCCCGCGACGTACGCGGCTTTGCACAAAGAGAAATCCCCGTTTTTGCGGACGATCCGACCAAACATCGCATGGCTTCCTCTTTCGGTCTTGGGATGGTCATAGGCTAGGTGGCGTGTCGAAACTCAGACCCCCCCCCCCCCAGGGTACCTCATTTAGTACATGTTTAGCACTTATTTGGCCGATTCACAACTACAGACACCCCCAAAGCAGTCGACAATTTGTAGGGTCTGTACGAAGTTGCAGAGGGATCCCATGTTCCTAAATGAAATGCACCTTGCAGCTAGCATGGCATAAATGTAGCCGACGAGAAAATTACGGACCAAAGAAACTTTCGTTCCGAGGCTTCGTGTCGTTCCAAGGAATTCCTTATCGGTTAGAAGTGTCAAGGTCAGACTCATGGGTTTCCCCTTTCAGGAAGGCCACAAAGGTTTAGGTCGATCATTCCGTCTTTTCCTTTTCTTCCTCCCCCAAATTCCTCAATCTTTTGCAGAATTTAACCTCTCTCGCTTCTAAAAGTCTAATATCTCATTTCGATATGTCACTTTTTGTGACTACATTATGGTACGTATCACTACCAAAGTCATAGTACTATTTCACATTCAACCAGCATCGTATAATTGCTGTAATTCATTTCCGGACCCTATTAACGCCACACCATGATATCATAATGAGTGGTAATGAGTAAACTTTTACAACTTTCCCTTAATAGCTAGCGAGCGAAAACTCGTTACTGACACAGATTCATCACGATTTTTTTCACTGTGATTGTGCCTTTTAAAGGTGAAATTGAAAGGTATTTCCCGATATTCAACACTCCGGACATGCAATTTACGCTCAACTTCCGGAAGGAATGAGCATATCAGGCTGGATGAAGAAAGTAAATTTTTTCTAGATGAGTCTTCGTTCCACGATCATGATTATTATAATGACATAATTGTATAACTGGAGCAAACGGATGGTTGCAATCTCAGTTCCTTTCTATTGAATAAAACCTGATTAACGGTCACATTTGCAATGGTTTTATTGAAAATCACACTCTCTTGGACCGATGGAGTTAGACGTGCAAATTTTTAGAAAGATCGCGAGTATTCCAGGTGGAGAAATCACCTTGCATGGGAGGATCTATTTTTACACAAAAGTCTTGGAAAAAATGCGGATCCAGTTCTTGAAAGGGAGTTTCATCCGGGCAGTAACCGAAAACCCTTTCCAGAAAGCCTGGCTCGACGACCATCCAGGCCATGCTGCATCCACACAAGATGGGATTACCTGCAACATATGTGCATCGTTTATGGGACGGACGAAACGACTGAAGGGAGACGTGGAATATTGCGGGGGGAAACGGAGCCACTCACGCCTGACGTTGAGCATTCCGTTTCCTTGCGCGAGGACCTCCATCACTGGGCGAAAGGTCGCTTCCGTTAATTCCGTGATTTCGTTGCCTTCGAGATCGATCACCGTGTCGGGAGAGACGACTGAAACGACATACGAGCATTGAAACTGGAACGACATACGAGCATTGAATACGCCCGCTGGTATAAAAAATCGAAGACCGTTTTCGATTAACGACGTGAGGGGTCGAATGCTGCCTCAGTTCTTTCGCTTATGATGGGTTTAATAGTCGAGGGGAGTTGGGGCTACGTCGTACCGCGAAGCACAAAGTGAATTCGAAGGAGATGCATACCGCTGATGCCATCGGGTTCGATGGTGGATATGATGTTGTCGACGAGGTAAACGGATTCCAGGGATCGGCTACGGAATGCCAGAGACCCGTTCGACACCGTAGGTCCCAGGTTGCACGAACGACACTGGAATTCCACCAAGTTGTCCATTCCCTCGAAGAACCCGTAGGGGATCACCGAGATGGGATTATCGTCTGCATTCCACGAGATGGAATAATATTATTTGGACCATCCTTGCTAAGCATTCCCTTTAAAACCGTCCACCTCCTCTCCCTCCCCTGCCATCCTCCTGCACATCCAGTGGATGCAAGGGGACTTATTGTGAGGGTGACGCAACATGATGGAGTCAAAATCGTGAATGCAAATTTTTGCGATACTGCTTCCACTTCCAAGAAGCCCAAAGTCGGCAATACGAGATATGAGTGGGGAGGGACAGGAAAGCGAAGGAGAAATTATTGTCTCAACAAAATCTGGGAATTCTCTGGTTTTCATCGCCATAATAAAATATCGTCGGAGTGATGACTCTCGATCTGGATTACCGCCGCCTCTCCTCCGACTTTCATCACTCGAGACCACCGTCGCACCCCATTCGAGAAAATAGTTGCAATGGTCGCATTTTTAACGGCTAATATATGCATGGGATGAAAGGAAATTACCCTTTAAGTTGAACGAGTGCCCTAGAAATAATAGAAAATTAATTCATCTCTGAGTCAAACATTCCTACTTGGTAAGAATAATTACAATTTACCGACAAAGCCGCACAAAAGGGTGGATGTACAGAAGCAGCCACTTGGTTCGTTCATCCCTCTGTGAAGAAATCGAAAGAAGAAAATGGTGATCCTGCACTCGGAACCCCGTGAAGACGCATGATATCGATTTAACTAAGGTCAGCCTCCCACTTTTTCCATGTTCACCTTAAAGGACGAATGGTTGGACGAGGGCAAGAGTTCATATAACCAGAGAATGCATTTAAGGGAAATGGTCCGCCTCCTCTCGTTACACTCGATGCATCGGTACTCACTCATGGTAAAATTGATCAAATTTGGCGCAGACGATCCAGCCGTGAGCGTGGCAATCATGTTGTTAGAAACGTGGAGCTCCTCGAGGCTGGGGCCTTGGAAGCTGGACATCGCCGTCAAATCGTTGAACACGAGGTCCAGGTACGCGAGCCCGGCGAGCTCGGCCAGGGTCTCCCAAGGGAACCCGCCCAGGTGGGAATACCGGATCCGCAGCCGCTCGAGGTCGTCCTCGGACGACAGCAGGGCCGACGGATGGACGGAGACCAAGTCGGTCGTCTCCACGTAGATCCTCTGGAAGGAAATATCCCCGAAGACCCCTTCGGGTAGTTCTGTCACCTGCCGGAACCCATCCAGCCTAAATTCCCTGCGAGCAGAGAGGAAGAACTCAACATTTTCACATAATTACGCTCATTCTATTATGACAACTCTTACTTTAATTTCATGTATCCGTTTGAGAAAGCCTGAACCTTTCCTTACAAATATTGGTATGGCTGAGGTAACAGTGCCGTGCAGTGCTGCCATTTTACCTTGTTGTGAGTTAACTGCTCATCGAGAGACTGCTTTTCAAGCCATTTTGGGGGTCGGGAGAATTTCGTTTCGATAGCAAGTAGAATTCTTACTAAACACATAGATCGCGATCGAAATTTGAGCCTCTGAATGAATCTGCATTCGACTATACCCTAAGTTGACGCAATAAATTTCCACATCGACACGAACCATCCGATACACGAGCCACCGTTTTACTCACGTGAGCTTCGTGAAAGGCCAGAATCCGTCGTTGAAGGCCGTGAAGATCTGAGCGCTCGTGTTCGCCGCCGAGCAGTCCACGAGCACTTCGTTCGTGGCTACCTCGTAGGAGCAGACGCAAGGAAGGATTTCGTCGGCCTCGGGGCATGGGAACTCCCCGGACGAGAACGAGAGAAGACAGAAGGGAAGGGCGAGCAGGACGAACCGCGGTTGCATCTTCGGATCGAACGGAGACTGGAACTGCGTTCTTTCCGATCCACGTAGCTCGTTTTGCAATCGGTGCTGAGGGTCGACTATCGTCGGTGTGGGAACCGACGGGCGATGGAATGACGAAACTTCCCGTTCGGAGAAGTTTCCCCTTGCGATCGAACAGTCTACGGGGTTCGGCGAAGTGACGATCGACAGTAATAGTGGGGAGAAAAGGGAGGGGATGGCTTTGCTTTCGTTTGCTTTTTCATACCTCTGTTAGAAGACGTTATCAGTTGCGAAGCCGACAGCTGGTTGGCTCCCAGACGCCATAGTTCACGTGTTTATCAGATTAAAAGTCTGGGATCCAGTGGAGTGTGGGGGGGGGGGGGGGTGAGGTTAAGGTCGAGGTTTGGGTTGAAGAAAGGAAAACCCTTTGAAAATTAGTATTCACATCATTACATATCCATTCATTATAGCTCCCTCTTCTTCACTTCCTTGGTCTTCCCAATGGATTCTTTCTATCGCTCAGCAGCATGCCCATCTACTCGTAGAAAATGAACTTTCCTCATCCATATATGTTGAATGATTTTGAAATGGTTAGGACTGAGAAGAGGGGTGAAACCGATGGGGGAGGAAGGGATAGGGTGAGGAAAGGTGAATATGAGGAGAAGGATGAGAATTAGGGAGTGGAGGCTGCTCTCTAACCCGCATACTAAAATGGATTTTTCTAATATGTGGCAACACTTGTTAACAATACGGGATGATACGACGAGATACCGTTACCACAGGCTGCCAATTGTTGACGGAGCCGGTATCAGGTGCATCTGAGAAGTCTTGCCTTCTAGATACGTAGATTTACATGCATACATTTTCAAAAACTGCTCAACCCAATCTCCCTCATCATCTGAGGCTGTGCCATGCGAAAAAATTTCAAGATAGGCCACAGGAAAGGAGCAACAGATAAGGAAAATCGGAGATCCGTTCTCTTCTCGCCATCTTCGGGATGGAAGAGGAGACTTGACTTGGTGTGGGACTCGTCAGGTAACAGTGGGATTGTTTACTGCAGTTCCTCCTGCTTGCTGCCGTGAATTCAGGAATTTACAGCGTCCGTGATGAATTACGGGGTGATTCGTGAGTTCGTCACCACTTATATTCCTACGGGCTCGACAAGGAAACCCATCACCGCCGTTTCCATCCTTCAAGATGCAGAATTGAAGAATGATGTGCTCTTTCGTTACGGCATGCATCGTCGTCACCCATTAGAACTTTGACTAACGGCGCGAGGAACCAGGCGAGTGCGGGAGTTCGTCGCACTTCTCTCTCGTCGTGTTTCATGGATGTGGGGGTATCATCCTAAATTCAAACCAGAGGAGCGAAGTTGCGAAGCAATCGAGGTCAAACGGTTAAACGTATCGTGCGCACCATCTTGGCCACTAACCATGTAAAGCGACAAATAGGGGGTTTAGGGGGATGTATGCTTGGGTGTCTGACGGCTCTACAGGCCAAACGCTTCGAGATGTGAACCGAGAGTTGTGAAACAAATGTTCCTTATCTTTATAGGATGTGCTTGGCTAAATGAAATTTTTTGGTAGGCGCCATTTTCCAAACGACTCTGGAAGGCGGTAGAATCTTGGTTTGAGGTTCGGCCGTTGTGCTTCCAAGGTGATGTACGATTTGTACGGTGGCGCAAGGAATCTGGCCAATTTGTGACAACCATCCCAGTTCGTTTCTGAAAAAGGGTGTATTATTTTCTTGTATTAGCATCGATAGCGAACAAATCAGTAAAGTTCTATTATATGGGGGACGGGAGCTAGCAATTAAAAGTGATTTGTGGTTTGTGATTTTGTTGAGACGCTGCATATTCCGTTCCTACATTCGTCTGAGCAGATGTCCATTGCTAGCAGTGGATGCTTTTGAGTCTGGGAATCCCCCATGCTTTTCAAGCGAACTCTCGACTATCAGTCAACTAAACTCGACTTAGCAAGGTATACATCAGAAGATCACCTGTCAACAGCAGGTGACACATCCCTAAAAATTAATAGAAAATTAGAGAAAGCGTAACATCAATTTCACAATCCAAAAGCCTGCACCATAATAATGACCTATTTTTGAACGGCAGTTGTATCTGTAATCTAATATTAATCCATATACGTAAGAGGAGAATTTCGAGCAATCGCCTTAGCAGGCCTGGAGTCGGTCATCCTGTTCTTTACTCTCGAAAAAATAAATACAATCACAAATAAAATACCTGGAGAAGAGAGAGAGACCGAGATGAGGGCGGGATAGAAAACATTCAAGATTTCAAAATTCAAGATATTGATATCAAGAGGCGATTTCACCCATTTTGATATCACCTGTCGAGGTCGAGTGTTCCTTATTTTTAGGGTAGACCTAACCCTTTTAAAGCTAAAAAAAATTAATTTTTGTCTTGTTTTGTTCTGTTTTGTTTTTTGACTATCCTAGTTGCTTACTGTCTAGTACCTAACGTCAA